ACCATCTTTGTCCCTCTACCAGCCCCCTCATTGCTGCCAACGGGAACAACCAATAGCGGAATCGGATCGGACGACTTTACCAGCCTAGGGAGCTTCCGAGTAATGTCTCTTATCCTTGCCCCAGGGAGGCAGCAGCCTACAGGAGAGGAGGGGTCCGGTCGGCATACCGGGCCCTCTGTTCCCCTCAGAAGGGAGTCACCTATGACAATTACCTTTCTTTTTTTCTTACCAGTGGCTGTTGTAATGCGTGGGGCTGACTGGCTCCCCCCAGTCAACCCCTTGGATGGATCACTGTCCGCATCTTCATCCTCCTGGCCCTCAAGTTCCAGAGCCTCGTACCTGTTGTATAAGGGCACCTGGAGGGGCGAGGTCGGCCGGGAGAGGATTCGCCTGCTGCGCTGAGCAGGGATCTGTTTCCATCCCCCTCCATCTCTTAGGACCCCTCCTTCTGCCTGGCGGCATGAGGGCAGGGGAGCCTCTCCTTCTCTTGATGCTTCCATCTGCCGTGCTTGTCTCAGGGATGGTAGGGAGTGGCTCCACCAGTCTGTCTCCCTCTCGCACTCCCTGGTACTCTGGCTCCTTCTTCTTCCAGCCCTGCCACCACGCTGAGCAGATCCTCCCCCTGCTTGCACCTCATGCAGGCGTTGTCTCGGCAGCCCTCCATCACTGGAGCAAGGCTCTGGCACTCCCTGCAGCCAGAGACCTGGGAGGCTGCATGTTTGAGTGGGAGCTCCGTCTGCGTCACCACATCCCTTTCTGACACGCCATGCCCCGTTTGCCCGTCCTGTTCGCCATGCTCCTGGTCGCTCGCACTCCGTAGGGGCCCGTTTAAATCTCCCACGATTGCACCAGCAACGCCTAAGCCCCATCTGCCTCGCTCCCCAGAGCAGCCGGTTTTTCTTTGGCACGAGGGCCCCACCAGGCTCTTTATCGGATTCACTGGCACAGGAAACTGCCTTTTCCACCCCAATCTAGCAACCAGTCGCAGGACTTACCGTTGCTGCTGCCGCGTGCCTCGCTGACTGTCCCCAGCTTTGTTTGTGGACCTTTCCTAATCTCTGGTTGATGGCTGCTGCCTCTCAGAGCCAGCTCCCATGTCACCAGGAGCTTTTCACCTCATGAGCTCAGCTCCACCAGTGACTTCCCTTCTCAGCCACCCACCCAGCCAGTTCTCCCCACCCAGCCAGTCCTGGGTTCAGCTGGGCCATTCTGGAGAGGAAGGCAGCAGGGACATCGGGGACAGCGCTCTGCTGCTGGGAGAAGGCAGAGGGAAGTGGGAGGTCGGGGGGCCAGCGCCCAACGCACGCCGGGGACCAGACCTTGCCCTTTGGCTGGTCGGTGCCCGGGCACTGACAGCCGAATGCCCGTGAGGGGACCGGAGAGGCGGGCGTGGAGGCGCAACCCCACCGGGCCCTCCACGCGCC